GAAATCTACACATCAACTGCATTTTCCCTGAAATTTGACATACCATTTTATTACGAAGTCCTTAAGAGGTCCAGAGTGTAAGGGAAGCATGATTTCCTTGAAGAAAACCTCTCTTCTGGGAGGAAATGTCAGCAGGTGCCACAAGGCAGCCTACGTTTCTCTGGAATGAACAGCGGGAGTTCACAAGGCAGGGGCTGGGCACCTGCTGGCTTAAAAAGGGGGTGGCGTCTACATCCCAGGGCTAAGTCAGACTCTGCAAACTTCACTGCAAAGAAATGGTCAGGGCTTGTCCAGGCTTTCAACCTGTGCGGTGCATGACGATGTGGCCATAAGTACCAGATGGGCTTCTGCAGAGGAAATTTCTGCTCCCATTCCCCAGCAGAATTCCTCACATGTAAAAGCTAGAACCCCTCATGAACACAATTCCAAGTGCTGCCACTTTCCACAACACACCGCATCTCCACCACCTTCCTCCAGGATCTGTCTACTCTGAGATGCAGAGTACCTGAATTTTTCCAAGGGCTTCATTTTCTTTCAAGAGTTCACCTTTCTGCAGAGTTGCTATTTTCCCTAAGCAAGGGATGAGGAGCCTTCAATCACCTCGCAGGAAGATGCTAGCATCTGCTTGGGGATTCCAACGAGATGTTTTACTGCAGCTTTTCACAAACTGATTATATTTAAAGCTCCCATGGGGAGTGGGGGTTGGGAGGAAAAAAGCTTCGGAGAAGACCTTTGTTGGCATGAGTGAAGAAGCGCTCAAACCTCTTGGAGGAATGAGCTTGTTTAAATACTGGCAATAAGCATCCCCAAGTGCATGTGCACACACACACGGTATGACTACAGTTTTAAATTTCATCTCAGGCTGTCAAAGGGTCCTGAAAGGGTTAAACTGTTCAAGGCAAAGGCCTGCACTTTTTCTATCAAAATGCTCCAGATGGAAATTACAAAATTTCCCTTCCCAGCTCTGTAGTGCACACACACTGTTCTCCTAAGACATTTAAAAAAAAAAAAGGACAAGACCCCTAATGTTCTCAAGAAAGGGAGTTTAACGGCTGAGCACACAGTGCCACTGTTCCAGACTATTCCTCCTGGAATATTTGCATTAACTGTCAATCTCAAACTTTCTGTAAAATCTCAAGGTATGCAGAGGGTAAAGGAAGGTGGGACTTGAGTAAGGAAAGGACAATAGCTAGGACTGTATGCAGTGACGTGAACTCACCCAAATACCACCTGGATTATCGTCTCTGGTAACCATGCCCTGCACCCTACCACCACTTCAGCTGCTCCAAACCAGCAAAGAAGCCAACAGGACAGAGGCCAAAAGGCCTCAGGTTATGACCCATGAATCTAACCAAGGCTGTCAAGAATTTCTAGAGATTAATGTATATGAAAACACTTTGTAAACTGGAAAGAGCTTTGTGAAAACACTAAGGATATTATTGCTTTCAAGTCAGACATTAAGAGGCATGAACTTTCAAAAGAATCTCAACACCCACAAACCAGAAACAATGATGGTTTTAAGAAGGCAGCTACCAGGCAGGCTGACTAAAGACGTACGTCCCTCACAAAACCACACTGGGGTAGGGATTGGGGCTGCAGCCTCACAAGTCCTTCAGGCACACTCAAGCAGGTGGTTTCAAAGAAAGCAAAAACCACAGGAAAGACAGGGTCCTGCAAAGTCCACTTAGAGTCTGCTTGATTCAAACCATTCTGACTGAAAAGTAGGACCCAGGACTCTGGTCTGAGACAAACAGAACAACAGCAATCAATGAATCTCCTGTGGATAAGACAGTTCACCTGTTCATTTTACAGAAAAGGAAACTGAGGCCCAGAGGGTTTAAGTGACTGACCCAAGGTACCTTTTGTTACTACCGGAAGAACAAGTCAAGTTTCATTCCTAGCCTGGTTTCCTAACATTTAATAGCTGGGGGCTTTGTAGTGAATATGCAATGCAGCCTTAATGGTCAGCACAATCGGGCAAGAAGGAAGGCCCAACAAACAGATAAGTAAACGCTGCTCGTACCTACTGAGCACTTCAATGTGCCAGATACTGCACCAAACAATTTATATGGACTATTTCATCAAATCTTTACAACTACCTTAGGAAATGGATATTATTTTGCCTATTTTACAATTTAGGAAACTGAGGTTCATCTACCTTGCCTGGGGTGGTAAGCAAAGCAAATGGCTTTATACCAGATTCAAACCTGGATCTGTTTGACTAAAATCTGCACTCTTAGCCATCAGACCAAACTGCCTCGCTGTTTTAGCCATTGTCATCTTAGCATCTGAAAGACAAGCGAGTCTACCAGCACCGTGAGTCCTATATAACATGTAAAAAGCTGAAACTCATAATTCTGACCAAGGACTTCCAGGTAGTGAGGGGCAGAGCCAACCAAGAATTCAGGTCTTTGTCTCCAAATTCTGAGCTCTTCGTCTAAGAAGAGCACAGGTTCTACAGCTTGCTCTAGAACGTTAGCACCACGAGGGAGGGACTTTGTTATGTTCATTGGTATAACTGCCAGTCCCCAGGCCGCATAGAGGCCCTCAGCAAACAGCTGCTGAATAAAGGAATGGAATCAAACCGCATGGTTTGGCTGTGTGATCTTGGGAAGGTTTCTTATCCTTTCTAAGCCCGTTTCCTCATGTGACAAATGGAGGATGACAACAATACCCACCTCCTGGGTTGGTGTGAAAATTAAACAAAACAATTCATGTACAGCACTTGAGACAGTCGGGAACATAGTGAGTACCCAAAATGTAATCCATTATTACTATTATTCATTGACAGATTTTGGCTTCTTAAGAAGTTTTTATTTTTTTCCCACCCAGGTAGAAGGATACTTTTCATAGTAAAGATACAGAATAGAGAACTGGGAATTGGTAAACCTGCTTCTCCTTTCAGATCTACCACCACCTAGCTGTGTGACCTTGGACAGATCTTTTAATTTCTCTTTACTTTCCTCGACTGTAAAATGAGGCATTAGACTATTCAAATCAGTTTCATAAGCATTTATTGGGTACCTTCTCCAAGTAAGACATCATGTTTAGCTACCTATAAAAGTCTATGACCCTGAATGGTATCAAATGGAAAAACATCAGAGCAAAGCAAAACAGCCTCTTGCTTGTGGCAAGGTTGAAAAGAAACCCTCAATAGCCAACTGCATTACATCATCTCAGTGAGCAATGTTTGTAAATACACAAAATGTTTAATTTTGAGACGTTCATGAGAAATCCTTTACAAACAAGGAATCGGCATATACTGTCCTATTAACACCTTCCAGCCCTGAACCTTCCAAAAAATAAACACGTAAAATCACTTTGCGCTTTAGTCAAACGGTGTGCTGCTGGAGAGAAACCTGGGGAAGTCCAAGTTATTAACGCTCCCTATGGCAACAGTCAAGAATCGGATGTGCAAAGAGAATGACATATCTGGTTAAAACTGCAGGGGGGATTCCAGGAGCAGAATGCAGTGCATCTGGACAGGACACGGAGGCCAGTAGCCTATTGTTTACAAAAACAGCCACGGATTATGAACAGCAACAACAGGCCAACACCTCGATTATAACTCACAACCACACCTCTCCCAATCCCAATTCTACTGAAGCTATCGATCAGTCAACTCCCCATCCCTGTAATAAACCTACCAATATTTGCAGTCAAGCGGACAGAAGGTCCCTTAGGGAACCTCCAGCATTGACCAAGCTGATGACACAAAAAAGATCCTACAGGCACAATGGGGACTTCAAACTACCTTCCAACCTTCCAAGAGATAAGGCTGCTGTCCATTTCAAACCCTAGCCCTCCCCTGACCCCAGGCAATCATTAGCAGGGAGACAGACATGGCCCTTCCCAAATCCTCTATGATAGGAAAAGGTCTCCTTGCATTGGTGCAGGGAAAGAAGGAGGGGCCCCTCCCTCTGTACTCTGAAACAAAGGAAAACCCAGAGCTCCAACCATGTGGTGTAACAGTCAAGGCCACCCATCTCTCCCACTCCCCAGTTGAGGTCTCAGGGGACTGAAGCCACATGGCTCTTCCCAGTGACTGGCCAGGAAGGGACAGTGCCTTGCACAAGCACATGCTGGCGCCCTTAAACAAGCTGGAGTCCCTCCTAAGGGAATTGCTGGTTAACGAAAGGCTATCTGGGAATAGGCTCTGGATTCACACACCTAGCCTAGCCATCATCTAAATGTGGAGACAGGTCACTTGGCTCCTCCAGGTGCACATTTTGCTTTACCCTCACATTTTCTGCAGGGAGGAAAATAGGACTTTCAAAGCATGTATTCTGGGGCAAAAGGAGACAACACAGAAGGGTTAAACAATTACGTCTTCCCATTTTCCAGAATCAACACCACCTGGCAACCCTAATATCCAACTCTATTCAGATTTAGGTGAGGGTGGAGGCTGGGTGTGGGTGGCCTTATTCCTTCTGCTCTCTGATGTCTGACTGTACACTGGGTAACCAGGCACCAGGCAGATACGCGGTACACCCAAGGTGGCTATAAACTTTCTGTGTCTGACACCACATCATACCAAATCTCACATTTTGATACAGTGCATCAGAAAAAAAAACCCGCCTCTCCTAGGGCTCCCCAAATGGTACACCTTCTCAAGGTTGCCTTTCTCAGCCTGGACTCCTCTTCAACCTCTGAAATAAATTCCCAAACACCTGTCAGATTTCAGTTGTCTTTCAAGGAAACTGAGATAATCTGAGATATCCTGAGGCAAAGTGCTGCCTTTCTTTCTCCACGAACCTCCTGCCCCTCCCCCACCCCATCCAGGACCGGGGGGTGGGGGGCTGCCCCAAAAAACAGCCAAGCCAGCCCCACAGAGACAAACCTGAAGCCCACTCCGAGACCCAACTATGAAACCACCTCTGGGGTCAGCCTATCCCCACCTGCTCCACCCAAAGGCATGAACACCCTGCAAATCAAGGTGGAAATCCATGCCTCATGGGTCCACACAGCATATGCAATATGCCGTTTTTCAAAGCCCTTACCTTTGACCTGAGTATCGTACTCTGCTATGATCTCCTTATCCTTTTTGAATTTAGCTGGAGACGTCATGTTTTCCTTCTTTCTTCCAAATTCGAATTGTGAATTGATAGATCCACGGGAAAAATCCAACCACCGAAATCAATACCTCCAAGACCACTTCTCCCAAGGGCAGAAGGGGCCCCGCGGTGGTCTCCAGCGCTCCGGTGAGCGCGGTATGCGGGCTGGGCAGGCGGCTAAGGCTGGCACATGCAGACGGTGGGCGCCGGGCCGGCTGCGGCGGCGGCTGTTCCTGTGCTACAGCCCGAGCCGCAGCCTCAGCATTAGCCGGGAGAACTGCAGCGCCCGGAGGCTGGCCCGGGGTCTGACATCAACGACACAGGCTGGGAGTGGAAGTCCTTCCGCACAAGAGCATGGTGTGGGGGTGCGGGGGTGTGGACGCGCCCAGTTGTGTCCCCGAGAGGGAGTGGGTGCGTATCGGGGCGCCGGGCAACGGCTGGGCGTGCTTCGCGGTTTTTTGTTGTACAGTCTCGAAGATGCTGCAAATCAAATCCCAAACGGGAGCCACAGCAGCGCGGAATGGATCGGAAGTCGTTTGCTCCGGTTCACTTGCCTGTAAATGCAGGAAAGGGGGGAGGGGAGGGGGCGATCAGCCAGGGCGCAGATCCTAATCGCGGCGGGGGTGGGGTAGGGGACGTCGAACCCAGGGCCCATTCAAACGCCGCCCGGCCCTCAGAGCCCAGGGCGGCAAGGTAGAGAGGAAGGATTTTGTTTTAAGGCTGAAAGGAAACACTTCGGCGCAGCCGCCTGCGCGGGCTCCGGGTGGAGACTGCGGCTGGAACGCGGGGCTCCGGGCAGGGACTGCGGCACCTCGGCGGCCGCCCGCCCCCACCCCGAGCCCAGCCAGCGCTGGGCAGCGGCCAGCCAGAGGGGGCCCTGCCGGCCCTGCCTTCGACGCGGCCCCTGAACCCTGGCTAGGGCACCTCCGCGACATCAAAGGGGGATCAAAGCCGGGGAGGGACGAGCCACCCGGGCACAACTTTTCTTCCCCTCCCGCCCTTCCTCCCAGTTGTTTTGTTTTTGGTTACTAGCTTCTCTTGGCAGCAAAGTGTTGGGGGGTGGAAAGGGAAGATCTGCAGGAAAAAGCTCGCTCGGCACGGGACACATCCAGGAAAACAATGTGGTCGGCAGAAGCAGGAAACGGGTTAGAGGCGAGGGTCGGAGCCGGGAAAACCAGGGGGAGGGGGGAGGAAGGCAGCCGTCGCCTCCCCTACCCGGGACCAGAGTGATTCTAAATGCCACTCCGCAAATATTTTTTGTCACCCAAGCCCAGGGATCCTAGATACCGCACCCAATCCTCGGCTGTGCGGGGGGGCGGGGGGAGGATCAGTGAGGGCCGCATTCCCGACTCCTCGCCCCAGGAGGTGCCGGAGGAGATCTCGCCCCAGCGAAGGCCCGGGAGGCGGGAGGGAACCTAGCGAGAGCGCAAAGCCGGGCGTCTTGCTCGCCGGCGTGCCGCAGCGGCGACCCTGCCTCCTTCCCTCTTTCCTCGCCCGTTTCCGTCTCCGCGCCGGGAGGAAGAGGCTCACGCCTTCCTCCAGCCGCGGGAAGTGAGAGACACCAGCGTGAGCCTCTTCCCGCGGTGGAGGAAGGGCCGTACCGAGGAAGAGGGAGAGCGGTGGCGTGGTTCCAGCAGGCAGGAAACGGGAGGAGGCTGTGAGGTGGGGTCCTGAGGTTGGACGGGAGCCCAGGAATAACTGAAGGATCTGCACACGCTTGGAAGGCGGGAGAGGGCAAAGGCAGGATTACCTGGGGTGGGGGACAAGGTTAAGAGACTACCGTGGGCCTCGATGTTACGTGAAGCGCAAAGATATGAGCAACTTTGGGGACCGAGATGTGGGTCTGGGAATGGGAGTGAGTGAAGGGAACTATTCGGAGAGGGCCCGGGGGCTGGGACAGGGGAAGAGCCCCGGAAGCAGTGCGGAATACCCATCCTTCTGGGTCCTAGGCTGTGACTCGGGCTGTCTGCCAGGGTTTGAAGACCGGGTAAGAAGAAAGCTGATGGCTAAGGGTGATGTCAACGACGGTTGCCGAAAGGTAGACTAAGGCTGCCGGTGTCCAGAGGAATTGGGAAAGTGAAGGGGTGCGGGCTGCGCGGCGGTATGTGTGTGAACAAGGGCAGAGTCTCAGGCTGTGCGGAGAAGGGCGGAGAGAGACGCTGTCCTGAGAAGTATTATGGGATGTACTGGGAAATTTGGAGAGGGTCCGGAGGGGAGGGGGTCTGAGGGATTTCGGGTGGCACCGCCAGGGCGATGCAGCGAGCAGCATCCGCGCCCTCTCCCTCCCGCCCCAGCCCGGGTTTGTTCAGTCAGGGCTTCAGCCCAGCGGCCGGGGAGAAGAAAGGGTAGAGAGGAGCCTTTACCTGGCTCTGACGCGACGGTCCCAGGCCCCCGGCTCCGCTTCCCACTCAGAGCTCGCCTACCCTCTCTTCCCCGCCACCCGCTTCTACGCAGTTCAGTCCCCTAGTCCCCTGAGGAGCCTCCGCCAACTCCGCAGGACCCCGCCGGGAAGTAGAACCCACCCCCTTGCCAATCACCGCCCGCTTTCTATCGACCGATGGGGCCTATAGCCAGTAAGAATAGTTGATCCCGAGAGGCCAGTACTGAGGAGGAGGAGCTAGCGAAACTTGGAGGTGTGACTAGCACCACCGAGGCGTGGTCACAAAATATGCTCCTCCCCGGGTTGTCAGAACCTTAAGTAGAATTGGTGGGCGGGATTAAGGCGGAACCAACAACCAAACACAAACTCTTTAGAGAAGACACGACCAATTGGACCGGGGTAGAGAGGAGGGGCGTTGCGGAGATCTTTAGCCAATAGAGAGTAGAGACCGGTGGGCAATGCAGAATGTCTTCCAGTAAGATGAGCGAAGGGCGAGCCTTGCCGCTTTCACGGGGGCGGGAGTAGGGGTTAGCCTAAACCTCCCGGAGCGGGCCAATGAGGTAGGAGGCGGAGCCAAGTTCAGCCAACCAAAGAGCAGAGTTGATCTCGGCACCGTTACTGGGGCGGGGCGGGCAGTCCCCATGCCAATAAGATCTCGTCAGGGGAAGGCCCCAGAACCTTCCAATGCGGGACCTGGGCGAACTCTAGCTCTCCCAATCGGTGCGCGGCGTTGGTAATTCAAACTGACAGCCGGTCGAAAAGGCAGAGACAGCGGAAGAGGGAGGAAAAACGACGTGTTCGTGACAGCACCGACTGAGCCCCGAAAGCGACCTCTGCCCCGCTCCCCGGCCACCTCCGGGCTCTCTCGAGCGGCCGCTCCGGGAAGATCTAAGGGGACGACGAGGGGCCACGAGGGAGAGCTAAGGGGAGGGAGGACACGAACTAACGGCGCGAGAGTGAGCACGCTGAGGGCTGGGGGCGCGCGAGGGCCCGCGGACGGAGGAGGATCGCGGGAGAGAGAAAGGACTGAGAACCAGGGATCATCCGGTGCAAAAAGCTGAGGGGATTTCTGAATCCGGGAAAGAGAAGAAAGGTTTCCAAAGAACAGGCGTGGGTGGGGTCCCTGAGCCCGCGATCCGAGAGAGGAGAGTTGAGGCGCTCTGAGAGAGGGAAGTAATGCTGGGAGAGAGGACGTTCTCAGAGGAGAGGCTTTAAATAAAGGAGACTACCAGAGAAGGTTAAGGAAATCACTGAAGGGGCGGGAGCTAAGGAGTAGAGGATCCTTCTAGACAGGAGAAAGGGAAAGCTGTAAAGGACTTCCCTTGCAGCTTGCCTCCTCCTCGCTTCCAACTGCACTGGTTTTCCCGCAAGTTCAAAAGGAAAGCCAATTTTGCTGCTTCTCTCTGTTCCTACTCGATAAATATTACTTTTACTCTCCCACCGGGAAAACAGAAAAGAACTCATTTCCTTCCCAAGTTCAGGGCTAAAAAAAAACTCAAGGCCTAACAACTTGATCTTCAGCCTGAGTGAATCGAACTGGGAAAGGTCTTGCTCTTGTTTCCTTTTTCGAAGTCCCACACCTCATCCTTCTGGGACGCAATGTCAATCAGCAGTTGTAGTTTCCAGGACCGGTGTGTGTCCATCCTGTGTTGCAAATTCTGTAAACAAGTGCTCAGCTCTAGGGGAATGAAGGCTGTTTTGCTGGCTGATACTGAAATAGACCTTTTCTCTACAGACATCCCTCCTACCAAGTAAGTCGTGCTAGTGGCGGGCAACGATAGCCTTTAACTAAATGGGAAAAATGGATGGCTTGGACCTCTGGGAGTCGACACGGAGGTTATCATTTTGGTGTTCCAGCTCCTCCCAACCGTCTGATGAGCCCCTTGGAGTATAACTAAGTGGGCAGACTGTCTGGACAAAGTCTGTGGTTTAGCCAAAGTGGTCAATCCTGACGTAACGTTTCTAGTTCAGTTGTGGTCATGTGACCATGAATCTCTTAAGTTGGATGCCTGGGCTGTGCCCTCCTCCCAACCATCCTAATTCTCTGGGCCAAGTCCATGACCTAGTCTCTAGGTAAATTCTGAAAACATTTTCTGTACTGTTGGAGAGGAGAGAACATTTTTTTCCTTTTGACACATAAAGTTTTACACTAAGAAACATTCATAGTTTTCTACCATTATTTGCTGTTGGCATGCTGAGTCAGATCCATTGTCCATCTAATTCAATATTATTGTCTCAAAAATCTTAAATTTTTATGTTTTTCTGGGATGAAATAGAGATTTAGCCCTAAAATAATCCTTGTCTCCCTTAAAGCCTGTTTTGAGTATTATGCATTTGTTTGCATAATTAAACCTATTTTAAAAAATCTTTTTGTTTTCAGCCACTACCCACTTTTGGGTGTAGAGGCCTTAAGAATTTGCTTCCTGTTTGGAAAAATAACCATTTTATTTGACTCAAATGTACCTTTTTCTTGCTCTAAAAGGTCCTTTCTTTTTCCGTAGTTAACATATATGCCCTGGGTGATTTTAAAGATTTAGCTGTTTATTGAAATTTTATCATTAAAGTGAAAGAATACTTAGCTAAGATATGGAATTAGCCAAGATATGGGTGGAAAGCTGTCCTCCAATCTTTGGACACAGAATCAGAGGATGCAGCCTAATAACCATAATACTTTAAAATGAATTTCATGATAATGGTAGAAACTTAAATTGTTTAAAAATATACCCAAGTAAAGCTGTGGACTCTCCCTCCCTTGAAGTCTTTTCTGAAGCAGTTTAAGTGTAATTGTGCCTAATAGCAAAGCCAAAGGCTTTCATTTATTGCAAAAATGCATGGGCTAATATTTTAAGTTTGTGTGTATGTTTCAAAAAAGAAAGGGCACTGGGCAAAAAAAACCATAAAACCTGTTGGCAATGGTTCTGTGATTTATTGTCTAGTGCTTTTTCTTTTTAGTAGCATGCACACACACACACACATACAAATTTAAAATATTAACCCATCCATTTTTGTAATAGCTTTGGTAAGTAATAAGGCAGTCATTAGGAGGACTCAGGTGAATTGTTATAGGTTAGAGGCAGAGTCTAGAACAGAGTAGGATCAGGCCTTTCCTATTGTCTCCTCTTCTTTGTAGGGGTTATTAAGGTGATGGATTAATGTGCTAAGAAATCTGAATGAATGAACACAAGATTTTTTAAATGGAAGGTTTGTTACATGTTTACGGTGAGCTCAAAATATTAACTGACTCATAAAATATACTATCGTTCTACTTTAGAGTCTCAGCTTTTTAAAACTACAAAATTTGTGCTTAGTCACAAAAGTACATTTGATTTATCTCTACACTTTTTCCTGTCCAGTGCAGTGGACTTCATTGGAAGATGCTATTTCACGGAAATCTGCAAATGTAAACTGAAAGACATCGCATGTTTAAAATGGTAATTTGTGGCAATATATTAGATAGCCCTGAGTTTGGAAGATGGATGTTGACGCCAAAGCACAGAGAAAGGTTCAGTGGGCTGTAACGAGTACTGGTTATAACCCATGCAATGAGCCATTGAAAAACCATTTGTTACTTAAAGCTATAAAAAAGAGTGTTTTGATACTTGGCATTTATATATAATTTTACAGTTTTTCAAAGTACATTCACAAATATCTGCTTTAATTTTCAGAACAAGGCAATGTAGTTTGGGGGGGAAACGATTGGATTTACAGTCATAAAAATCATATTTGAGTCCTAACTGTACTGTTACTTTCTATATGATCCTGAGTAAATTTCTTACACTTCTAAACTTCTAAACCTCTGTTTCCTTTTTTCTGTATTTCCATATAGAGTTATGAAGATAAATGAATCATAAATGTTAAAAGGCTTGATAAATTATGAATTATAACACGGTTGCCAGCTGTTATCATCATCTTTGGAGAGGTGGATAAACTGAGTGTTATTATTCCCATTTTAGAAAGAAGAAAGTTGAGATGTTTTCATTTAAATGGGGTTTGGATTATAAATTATGATCCTAATAACTTGAATTAGCAAACTCTTCTTATGTGCTAACAATTATTTAATTTCAGGATATTCATTCATTCACTTATTCATTCATTTGAGCTATATATATATTGAGCACCTACCACTTGCTGGTCACTGTTATAGGAGCTGGAAACAGCAGTAAATGACAAAGTTGCTGGCCTTTGGGCATTATATTCTAGGGAGAAGGCACTCAATCAGTCAATAAGATATTTAGATAAATAAGATATTTAATTTGGTGGGAAGTGCTGCAAAGAAAAGAATAATAATAAACTGTAGAAAGCAATAGAGGTTGGACCATGAGAGAGAGGGTAAGAGCTACTCTAGATAGCATGGTCAGGGAAGTCTTCTCATGAAGAGTAACACTGGAGTTGAGTCCTAAAGGATAAGAAGGCAGAGAAAGAATATTCTAGGCAGAGGGAACAGCAGATGCAAGGAACCCAAGGCATGAAGGAGCTTAACATGTTCAAGGAATAAAAAGAGGATGGCCAGTATGGCTGAGACATTGTGAGCATGGGGACAGAGTAGTATTAAAAGGTCAGAGAAGTAACAGAAGCTCAGATAATCTAGAGCAGCACGGTCCAGTAGAATTATAATGCAAGCCACATATGTAATTTAAAATTTTCTAGTAGCCACATTTTTTAAAAGTAAAAAGAAACTGGTGAAATTAATGTTAATCATATATTTTATTTAACCCAATATATCCAAAATATTATCAGCTCAACTTGTAACCAACATAAAAAATTATTAATGAAATATTTTACATTCTATTTGTTGTTCTTGGTCTTTGAAATCTGGTATACATTTTACACTTACAGCACATCTCAATTCAAACTACCCACATTTCAGGTGCTCAGCAGCCACATTTGGCTAGTGGCCATTGTTTAGGACAGCGCAGACCTAGACCTTGGTATAAGGTTGTATTTGTTTTTGGCCAATGGGAAGCCGTTGAAGGGAGCAAAATGATCTAATGTGTCACACACTAGAATGTTAGCTCCATGAGGGCAAAAACTTTGTTTTGTCCACTGCTGTATCCCTAGCACCTAGAAGAGTGCCTGGCACTTAGTAGATGCTCAATAAATATTAGTAGAATGAATGAGTGAGTGAATAAATGAATGTAGGTGGTAATTAAAGCTGTGGAATTTACTCTTACAATATAGTTTACAAATAACTAGTCAGTCCTAGTCCAAGAACAACCTCTATTTTCATTTGTTTGTCCTTCAAGCAGGTTATGATTAGAAGACGTATTTTAGGTAGGCTGGTACCTTTTATAGTATTCTTTATAGTGCCTCACAAAAATGACTTGACTCCCACATCTTACAGGGTGGGACCAAGCTATAACAGGAATTTTTACAACTCAAGGTATAAACAGTTCATGTTGCCATTAAAAAAACAAAGCATTAAAACTTCCCTGTATGTTCACGCTTTTTAGTATGTAAACAGAACAATCTTTGTAAGAATGAAGTACTTATAATCAGCTGGATAATACTGAAGACTGTAAAAACTTTTGCAACTTTCTCTAGAGGCCATGGATTTGCTTTCTTCCTGAATTTCTGCAAAAATACTGAAACTAAAATTAGAGCTGCCAGCTTGTATTTGGTTTACAGGGACTCATGCTGTCTTCCTACTCCTCCATCTGTTGAAACAGTTTTTAGGTGCTGCTATTGAACTGGAACATTATAAGAACCCAACTTGCCAGAGCTGTAGGGATAGAAAACTCTTTCACCTGTAGATCTGAGATCGTTAAGTATCTTTTGCCTGAGCAGCAAATCAATTTTGGGTGCTTTGCAGAACAAATCACAACCTTATGGCATCCAGAACCTAGCTGCTGAAGGGAGAATACATAAAATAATACTAGCAAAGAAATGCAAGAATATGGTAGTATTATTTCACTTAACTTAGACTATTTTTTCCCATTTGATGGTAAAACGAAACCATTAACAAAGTAACTCTTATCCCAAAGAACCCAGCTATGGAGGTTGTTAGGAGAGAGTAAGTTCTAAATTATGTGGACTGTCTGGTAACAGCATGTAAAAGTGTTTATATCCCTGGGTATTATACGGCATCTAATAGCATTTACTTTCTTTTTTAGTGGGAACGTTGTAGGTTATCATGTGATTGTTCCATGTAGTTCCTGCCTTCTCTCCTGTAACAATGGACACTTCTGGATGTTTCACAGCCAGGCAGTTTATGGTACTAGCAGACTAGACTCCACTGGTAAGAAACGATTGACTCGGACATCTCTCCAACATTTCTTTATTGATACCTGAATGAAGCTTCCAATAGATAATTTCATCTTAGCTGGGCTGGATCAGTTAAAGTAAAACTTCAATGGCTTTCTTCCCCAAACATTCTCTTATGAAGCCTATTAGCCAAAATTCATTGCCATTTCTGTGTTCCTGACTGTATTTAAGAGCTCAAACTTGGCTGGATTTCTTGGTCTTTTTACAGTCATATCCTAATTGTTCTAAACTGCTACCTTGATAGATATTCTAGACACCAGAGAATTTTTGAAGATTTTAGTCTTAAGAGTCACTTAACTGTGTGTGTGTGTGAGAAAGAGAGAGGGGGTGGTTTGGGCTCGGGAGGGAGATGGTGGCAGAGGAGGAGAACTGTGTAACCTCTGCATTTGGTGATGTTGCTTCAGGATAAAAATAGATATTTTGACATCTATATCCATAATTTATTATAGAGTTTTAGCCAAGGGAAAGATTTAACACCAATATGTTGACGCTAATTATTTTTATTAAGAAAATATAACTACAAATCCTTGAAGGATATTTACATAATACATTTTATATTGTTTGCAGCCATTCAGTTTTGTTATAGGACACATTTTCTCAATGTTTAATTTATATTTAGACAACATTATTTTGGTCTTCTTTGGAACTTAAAGTATATATACATATATATCTGTATCCATATATATGTATATATATATGTATTTTAGGTATAATTTGCCTTCACATACCAAAAGATCATGACTTGCAAGCTAGGTTATCAGGGTCTTTAAACCCTCCAATTATGCTTGGGTCTTTATAGACCATGATTTTTTTTTTTTTCTTTTATCACCTAGGATTCAACTATGGCTCTCAACTCATCATTTGGGGGGTCTTAATTTAAGACTCTAGTATGTTAAGAAGGCCATTTTCAAGCAAGAGCTTATCTGAACTTTCCTAAATGGGATATAGACTACTAATTTAGGCCTCCGGTTTTATATTTGTGTTGTTCATGGGACACATTAAAGGAAGTTTCTGCTTTGATGCTGTTTTTCCTGCTTTACAGTATTCAAAACACAGGGTGGGGATTTTTCAATTTTGATTTACTTTTTAATATTGGTAAATTTTTCAAAGATAAAAGCCCAGCATTCTTCCATTCGCATTGAATCTAATCCATGAGAAACAGATGTATCACAGGATTTCCTTCCTTCTTAACAGAAAGGAAGGTGCTGCTTCTGTCAGATCAGTCTCTTAGTTTATTTTTTCTCCTTTGAACTGATTGTGCTGAACTGCTTCATGTCTCTGAGTATTGACTCCAAGAATATCAAACTTCTTTGTAACACTAAAACTGTGATTTAAAGCAAGATTTTCTAGATGCTTGGTATAAAAGAGGGTTTCTAATAGCATTGGAACTGTCCTCAAATCACCTGAATCAGCAGCATCAAAGGAATACATACACAGGCTTTATAAAATTCTAGAACGTTTAGACCGAAAAGGGCCCCATGATGTCTGTGTTCTAGGCTAATATCCACATTTAGACCTGATTTCCAGAAATTTTCCTGAGGAGGCTTGGGAAACCTCCATTCAAATTCCCTGATGTTGGAAAATGTCCTCAAAGACAAAATGGCTTCAGCTCTCCATTTACCTCTATGGGTTCTAATTTTCCTAGATTTTGGCCTAATAATTCCTATTATCCTGGCAGCTCTTCAATGCCATATTACCAGAAGCAGAACGTCGTTCATTCTTAGGAAAAAAATAAAACTGTTTTTATCCTAAAACAATTGAAACACACAAAAATTTACAGGAAATGATATAATAAACATCTATACCCTCAGCAGCATCAGATAGAGGCTAACTTCTTGCCTGATTAAATTCCAGTATCTCTCTCAGCAGAAAGAGACAGTTGATGGTTTCCACTGTCTCTACCATGTGCAGTGTACATCCTTGTATATGTCTCCTTGGGCATCTGTTCAAGATGGGCAGTTAGAGGAAGGGATAATTGATGTGCTGTATTTACAATGTGTTTTTATTCCCATAATGGAATACTCTACAGAAAGAAATGAGGAAAATGAGCTAAGTCTCGCATATCAGCATAGGTTAACCTCAAAAACCTGATGTTGAGTGACGAAAGCAAGTTAGAAAAGATACATATAGCATAACATCCTTTAGTAAAAAATTTAAATACACAAATCATTAATATGTATGATCTATGGTTGAATACACTTGCAGTAAAAGTAGTAAAATCATCCATGGTGTACTAGTAGTGGTGGAAACCACTGGCTTACTCCATTCCACCATGTTGCTGTTATCTCTGTGTATGCTGTTATCTCAGTGTATGTGGAGGGTAGCCAGAGCCTCTGAGTCATCCTAGTGCCCACACTCACAACTGGACAGCTTTTCTTGTTGAACTTAATTGACTTTCCTAGGGGTCACTTAATAATGGGATCTTTTTTTCAATTCAGTGCTTTCAAGTTATAGTGTAGTATGTGCCCAGCATAAACCATCTCATCATCATGTACTATGTGTTTGGTCTTATACTGTATATACTTCTGGTGGATTCTTCAATATGAAATCTGACTGTCCTTTCTCAATGGGATTTTAGATTATTATTTGTTTATTGTACTGACTGCTATAACTTAATCCTAAAGTTTACAAGTCTTCCTTGACAGCCTTCCTTTATTCAAGGCTGAAACCCACCGATATCAAGGATTGCAGTTCATATTATAACTGGCTCTAAAACCTTGCTTTTTTTAATTAAAAAAAAAAAAAAAAGGCACTAGCTACTTCCATGCTTGTTTAGAAAATGAAAAGACTTATTCAAGACGCATTCCCTGCACCCTCCAAAAAAAGCACTCAATCTAAAAGGATCTTGTGAGATCTCTATTCTTAAAGATCATTAAAATAGACTAGAAAATTATAACTGTGGAGTGAGTATGTCATAAAGTAGGAGACAGTAAGCAGACTGATCCTTTTGAGTTCTAAGATTTTAGTATTTAAGCCTTTGCTTAAAATGCTTTAAAGAATTTTTGTGTCCTAGATGAATGTAAATTTAATTAAATAATTTTATTTGTGATATACTCTTTAATAGCTTCCTAACTGCTAACAACCATGACTTAATATAAGAATGTTAGTATATAAGGTTTCATATATCATGTTCAGAGTTGCAACAGTAGCCAGCACTAAATAATTTTATGAATTTTATTTCTAGGTGTGAATGTCCTACTTTGGGGCAACTTGCCGGAGACAGAAGAAAATACAGATGAAGACATGTTAGACACCTCAGCAGAGGAGTGCATTAGATGAATGGGGTTATGAGATATACATAATGTTCAAACTTTTTCCTGTTTAAAATATATATTAACAGATGAACTTTAAAATTGTTAGTAAGGATTTGCCAGTGATTTGTTTAAAAGCAAAAATGGGGTATTTGTTGATTTATTTATTTGCTGTCTCAACTTAATTACCTCCATTTAATTTGAGCCAATGTAGTTGTTCTCTCCTTGTATGTCTGTCTGCTTCTTCCTCTTCCCTCCCCCTTGCCCAGCATAAGTGTATTCTTAACTTCAGATAGATTTTACATGTCACTCAGCTACCTCCTAATCTGAGAGAGTTTTTCTTACAACTTGAGACCAGATACCATTAATTTTACATTCCTGTATAAGAGAGCACTAGTATCCACACATATATCAAGCAGGATAGATTGAGCTCAACTGAATATTAACAGGGGGTTTTAAAAAATAGGCTGTTAGGTTTCCATGGATACTGTTTGTCATATGTTATATTGGTGATTACTTTAATATGGAACAACACTTTGTGAATCAGCAAATAGAATAAATTAAAAAAAAACTTTAAAATGTATGGAGGAATCCTCTTGATTCCTCAGCATGATGTTAGGTCAGAAAATTATCCAGATATACTGTTTACCAATGTTATTTATTTACATTCTTCTAAAGCCATTATGGATATTGTATTATGAAAGCCAGATTAAACTAAACCTTCATCTTTAAATTATCCTATTCCCTAGGGCTTTCTCTGTAAATAGCATTCTAGATGAGTAGTCCCAGTCTCATCCCTTAAATAGAAAAAAAAAAAAAACTAAAGATGTGGTTTGCTTAAGCTATTGTATATTAAAAAGAATTTTGTTGTTTTGTTTTTTCAAGGCTGCATCCAAAGCCGCACAGGAATAGTAAAACTGGGATAGTGTTGGATTCTGGTTATCTGTGAAGCTAAAATCAATATATCTCCTTAGCTAATATCTCAGCTGTAGGCATTTTGTCAATAGCAGACAGAATTGTGGTTTTATAAATAAAGTCTGTTCTCAAAATGATCAGCCTTCCTTTAACTTTTTATTATACCCACTTCCCTTACTTAAAAATATAAAGATAGTATATAAAGTACAGACATAAGAGCTAACATTTATTGAGTGCTTACCATGTGTCAGATGCTGTTCTAAGTGCTTTGTGCACGTAACTCCCTTATTCTACACAGAAACCCGTGAGGTGTAGGTACCATTATTAGTCCTTTTTTACTGACAGAACAGCTGAGGCATATAGTGGTTAAGTAACTGGCCTAAGACCACGTAACTGGTAAGAGGTATGGTCAGATTCAAACTCAGACTGACTGACTCCAAAGCTTCTGCTTTTAACCTTTGTGCTAACCCCTCTGACCACCTCAGGACATGAAACCAGCTATGATCTTAGCCAGGATACATGCTGAGTAACCTCATAGTTATGTACAGTAGGTAAGGGCATAAGTGACTGACTGATTTCAAGATTGAACACACTCATACTGGATCTTAGGGCAAAAGTGGCTTTGTGGACATTTGACAGAATCATTTGCTGTAAACCAAGATAAAAGGTGCTACAGGAAACGCTGTTAGTAGACCTGGAAACCTTTCCCAAGTCTTTTGTACTGACTGACATCAGCACTGACAGACGGTCACCAAAAAACCCAAAGGGATGAGTGTGGAATAATTTGTTTTTGGATTTGGTTTCTTTCTTTATCCACCCTTAAGCATTTTCTGGAACAAGGTGGGAATAATGAATAAAATAAAAAATAAATTGATACTGCATTATACAATTCTTCAGTTAACTTACTCAATTAGAGCAGGAAACTTTAGTGCTAGAGTAGAGAATATGACAAGTTTAAAATTCAACAGAGTTCATCTGGTTTCCGTTCAGCTCATGCCTTCAAAGGCTTGGGTTGACTAAGGGGCTCTTTGAAGAGCAAAAGCAAGACAGAGGTGCACTGATTGAAGCAAGCCCCAAATGTGATTCCACTCCAGCTGGAGAATATTTTAAACTACTCAGCTACCTTTTGGCTGAGTTATAGGAAAGCCGATTCCAAGCAGAAAAATGGATGAATAATGTTTTATCTAAAGAAATACATCCATGACACTGTTTTTTAATAAAAGCAAATCATATGCACTTTGGTAAAACCTAAAGCAGGATCACATTTGTGAATTTAGCATGCTTTAACTCCTACCATACTTCCTAGCCCAAGAAAATCCATCTATGCTTTGGCCCTCTTCTAATATTTAATTCAATTCAACAAACCTGTATTGTGCTCCTAAAATGTGTCAGGAGCTTCACAATGACAGGGCTCAGACTTGCCTTTGAGGAGTTGAAGAGGAAATAGGCTCCTATGAAGTCTATCTAATTGATCAAGTTAAGTGATTTCACAAAGGCGTATTTAAAGTGCTGTGACTCCGTGGATGAAAAAAACACTCATTCTGAGAGTAGGACCTGAGAAAGCTACAGAGAAGAAATGATATTTGAGCCATGCTTTGAAGCACAGGAGTTTGCCATCTGGGATGAGAGCTCTGGGCAGAGAGATTAGTGTTAACAAATGGATGGGAATTTAAAAGTTTCTCACATATTTGGGACATTATGAATGGCCCCCCATACCTTCTAAGACATGTAAGAAGAATTAGAAGATGAAGCTAAAAAGGAAGGTTGGGATCATGTTGCGAACACTATTTTATGTGATTGTAAGGAGTTTATACCTGATGCTGTAGCAAAGTGGAGTTATTGAAATGTTTAAGCAGAATAAAGTGATGAGATTTAGGAGGCTAACTCTAATGGTAAAGTGTAATCAGGTTTAGTTTTCCTAGCATCCTTTCCTCGATGTATTTAGCATCTTGACCAGGAAAATTAGATTTATTGCCTCACGCTAAGAACACATATAGACCTTTAAGTTCCCTGAATGTCTTGTCTTTTATGGAACATCTGGTCTTTAGGGGGCACTGCCTTTTTTTCCCTTTCCATTGTGTCATTCCTGAAGTTCAAGGAAGGGGCAGAAAGTCATCAGCTCACCCACCAGGGCTTTTTCTGCTACTTTATCTTTTTTCCTCAAACCAGTTTCTCACCTCAAACTCAGGCTCTGTTGGGATATATTGGGTGGGGTCTAATCTTGAAGCCATAATATTTTGAATAATCGCTGGCTCTGAAAACTGGGCCTTCAAATAGTAGTAATTTAGAGAGATAGCCTTACAAAAAGCTGCTCTTTTGACCTCTGAGTCACATGTGGCTGATTAAGAATAATCTGTAGCGCTTTCCTTTGGGTGAGGAGGAAATGATCATGATATATAAAGCATGATATATAAAATAATTAACCAGAACACCAATGGAGAGTGGAGGAAAGCAGGAGGGGACATGGATCAAATAATTTTGCTTCTTCAGTGGTGAATTACTGCATGTAGGCTTTCCCTACGTTAACATTCATGCTTATAAAAGGAAATAGTTTCCTTTTCTGACTTTTTTTTTTTTTTTTTTAACTTTAAAAGCAGCCTAAACCATAGTTTCTTTCTTGCCTGGTATTGAGTGTATGCCAAATCTACCCTAAACTGCACAGATGGAAAAAATTAGCCTATGTCTGTGGTACCTCTGGGGTTGAATACTTTTAGTACTTAAATCTTAGCTAAAGATTCTTTCTTCCAAGACTCTCAAAGAATCATTTTCCTGTCACCCAAAAGACAAAGCCCCTGAAATAAAAATTAATAATATCATGTGTTTGAATATCCCTTTATAGTTTGTTATGAGCTTTCACATACACTTTAATCCTCAGAATAAACTCGGGAGCTATCATTCCCATTTTACAAATTAAGAAAGAAAACCTTAGTCCCATCACCCAGACAGTAAGTTTGAAGAATCCAAACTTGAATCTGGGTCTTCTGATCTTAGCTGAGGTCTCTTTCCTACTCCCTAAGCACAAGGATATTCGAACCCACCAGCCACTCCAGGCAGTCTGCTTCCGTAAAGACTACATACAGCCTTGGAAACTCCATGGGGCAGTTCTGTCCTACAGGGTGGCTATGAGTCAGAATTGACTCCAAAGCAATAATTTTGGCGGGGGGGCAGTGGTGGGACACAGTTTAAATACTGTAAATCAAAGCCTATTTTTTCCTCACCGGCTATAAAACTTAGGACAAGTACTCTTTGACTTTCAACATCAAAGCCCAGCTACTTTCATTAATTAATCCATTCAACAAATATTTATTAAATGCCTACTGTGAGCAAAGTAGATGCTGAAGATACAGAACTAAATAAGACAGAGTCCCTGCTTTCCTGTGAGGTTACCATTCCAGTTGAGGGGGAGGAAGAAGTGAGCTAGAGTTTACTGAGGGTCTCCTGGATACTAGGCACTGTTCTAAGTGCTTTATATGGAACAATCCTAAGAAGTAGGTCCTATTATTATTATCCTGACCATACAGATCAGGAAACTGAGGCACAGAGAGGTCAAAGAACTTGCCCAAATTCACACAGCTAGTAAATGGCACCTCTCTAAGATATGGAGGAGCTGGAATTAATTAGCTTAATGAATATACTTCCTTTTTACTTCTTAATGTAGTTGTCTTCCATTCAAATAAAGTCAAGGTTTCCTATACACATCTTTTCCTATTGGACCTTAGCTGATTTTCATTCTAAACTGAGACTCCCTTTTCAGTTAGGAGACTTGCTATACCTATAACTGATAAGAATGCTAGTCATATACACTATGGAGGGAGAAAAAACTGTGCAAAACTTAATTTCCAGCTTTGTTGCACTTCTATCTGGAAACAAAGCCTTTTTTACTAGTCCAGATTTTTATATTGTAAGTAACAGAATTTACTAAAGAGTAAATAAACCAAAAAACAACTGTCATGGAGTCAATTCCAACTCATAGTGACCACACATGTGTCAGAATAGAACTATTCCATACAGTTTTCAGTGGCTGATTTTTCAGAAGTAGATTTCCAGGTCTTTCTTTCCAGGTGCCTCTGGGTGGATTCAAACTACAAACGTTTGGCTAAGCAGCTAAGCCCCTAACCATTTGCTCTACCCAGGGTAAATACCTGTTGTTTAAAGCTTTGATATGTCTCAAATGTTTCATAATAAAATAGTAAATTAAATTCCCACCTTTTGCAAATTGCTCAAATCTTGGCCTTCCTTATAATCTTGTATTTAAAATTTACTTATATGAGAATTTCGGAAGCAGCTATGCCTTAAATGAACACTGTTGAATCTTCATAACAGGATTATGTATTTGTTGTGAGGGAAGCAAAAATAGGTATCAAATGCATTTGAAAATTTGCCTTTTGAGATTTCTAAAAAAGTGTGTTGACAAATATCTAAAGATTCATTGGATCTGCCAAATATGGGCACCACTGAAGTTTGCCCACCAGAACGCAGCTCTACACAAACCTCCATTCACACAGCCCACTTCCTCTGGGAAGGGGCCCGTGGTAAGAGCAGGCATATGGGAATGACTCACATGGGGAAAGCTATACCCAGAATACCACAACAGCTTGTTTTCTGTCTCTATATCCTGGCCATGATTTTTCTATCCAAAGGAACCACCTGCTATTATGGCTGTGACACCTGAAAAGCTTGCTGTATATTGCAGATTGCTCATGTGTGGGTGGATT